CCCGTTGGTCTGGGGATGGTACCCGGAGGAGAGGCTGAGGGCGACCCCCAGTCGGTCACAGAAGGCTCGCCACACCCAGGAGACAAACTGGGGCCCGCGGTCAGAGACGATGTCCTCCGGAATCCCATACAGACGGAACACCTGTTGGAACATACACTCAGCCAATTCCATGGCATTAGGTAAGTGAGGAAGAGGAACCAGACGACACATTTTTGAAAAACGGTCTACTATGACAAGGATGTTGGTGTTACCAGAGGATTCAGGAAGGTCTGTGATGAAGTCAACAGCTATGTGGGACCAGCGTCTGTGAGGGATTGGCAAAGGTTGAAGCTTACCGGAAGGGAGATGACGAGGGCTTTTGGTTTGGGTGCAGACTGGACAGGAGAGTACATAATCCCTGACTCGGATGCCAGTAAGGACCACCAGAATTTACGTGCTAGAAGTTCGGTAGTTTGTGTAATGCCCGGATGTCCTGACCCCAAGGACATGTGACACCATTGCATCAGTTGGGGTCTAACAGCTGCTGGTACGTAACTCTTCCCAGCTGGTGTCTCAGGACGAGCCGGGTCTGAGGTTAGGGCTTCTTGTATGGCAGAGTGAACCTCCCACTGTACCGGTCCCATAATGCAAGAGGAAGGAAGAATGGGTGTAGGGTCTGAGTTACTGGTCAGAAGGTCAAACTGGCGGGAGAGAGCATCAGCTTTTACGTTTTTCTTTCCAGGGAAGTAAGTAACATGAAAATGGAAGCGTGTGAAAAGAGCCCAGCGGGCTTGTCTGGAGTATAACCTCTTGGCCCCTCTGATATATTCCAGATTACGATGATCTGTTAGGACGAGAAAGGGATGTTGTGTGCCCTCCAACCAGAGGCGCAACTCCTCGAGGGCCAGCTTGATGGCGAGGAGTTCTGTTCCTCACATCGTAATTCCTCTCAGCGGGGGATAACTTCCTGGAGAAGAAGGCACAAGGATGTGATTTTGGAGGTGTTCCCACCCGCTGAGAGAGTGTGGCTCCTACTCCTACTTCGGAGGCATCCACCTCCAGGGTGAAAGGAAGGGTCGGATCAGGTTGGCTAAGGACAGGAGCTGAGGTGAAGAGACGTTTCAAGGTGTTGAAAGCAGTCAGTGCGGTATCAGTCCATTGAAGGGTCCGGGTCTTTTGGCTGGTGAGGGGAGCGGCAGTAGAACTGAAGTTCCGAATGAACCGGCGATAGAAGTTGGAGAACCCAAGGAAACGTTGGAGTTCCTTAACGGTGGTGGATTTGGGCCAGTTACTGACGGCGGTGACTTTGTTCTCATCCATGCTGACCCCTCCAGGTGTCAGTATGAAACCGAGGAAGTTTACTGAGGTTACATGGAAGGTGCTCTTTTCAGTCTTCACATAAAGGTTATGGTCAAGGAGCCGTTGAAGAACCCTTTGTACATGCTGTATGTGTTCCTTCAGGGAGTGGGAGTAAATCAGGATGTCATCAATGTAGACGATGAGAAAGCGGTTGATCATATCCTGGAAAACGACAGTAGTTCACCTTGTCGCGACGAGATGGCAGTGTCGTGACGACAAAGCCAGGGGTGTCTGAGGATGAGTGGCTGTTTGGGAGATGAGAGTTCCATGAGTTGAATGGTTTCGGTGTGGATGACTCCAATCTGGAGGGTAACGTTCTGTGTCAGGTGCGTAATGAAGCCCGTGCCCAATGGCTGCCCGTCCAGGGTGTTAATCCTTAAGGGAGGGGTGACAGGTGTAAGATCAATGTCAAGCTCTTGTACTAGCTGGTGATTGATAAAACTACCTGCTCCTCCAGAATCTATCAAGCCCTCTACGTACTTCGTAATCCCCTTCACGGTTATCAATACTGGGATGGATAATTGCTTCTGGGAGATATTTAGAAATACGGACCCGCCTACCTGCATGGCAGCGGTGGGACCCTTCTCATCTCTCCGTGGGGGGGGGGGGGGGGGGGGGGGGGCAACAGGGCAATGGCTGAGTAGAAGTAGTAGTTATCTTTCCCTCCACAGTATAGGCAGTGCCCTTCTTGGATCCGCCTTTGACGTTCGATACACGGGAGAGGAGCATGGCCCAACTTCATTGGCTCTGGAAGACTCGGACGGGATGACGGAATCATGGAAAGAGAAGGTTTCGGGTTCCTGGGTGGCAGAGTTCTTCGGCGGTCGGCGATGAGGTGGTCGATGGAGATGGACATACGAATGTATTGATTTCAATCCTGAAGGTCACCTCTACAGGCCAGCTCCGCCGGAAGTTCCCTGTTGAGCCCTCTTCGGTAGACGGTAAGTAAAGTAGCCTCACTCCATCCACTACCTTGGTCTCAGATTCTAGTTCTGTGCTGTTGGCAGTCCATATGGCAGTGGCCCAATCCAGGGCTTTGCCTGTGAGTAGAGACACAGCAAAATCCTCCCTGCTCTTGTCGGTGGCGAAGTTAGTGGGGTTGTGCTCAATGTATTTGCTGCATTGCATCAGAAATCCCTGACATTTCCAAGGTGAACCGTCATATTTTCCAGGCATGGATATGAATGAAGGAGGGCTATGGGTTACGATACCTGGTATTGGAGTAGGGATAGGCTGGCGGAAAAGATGGCCGATTACCTCCATACGCTCCTCTTGCCGGGTTAGGCGCCACTGTAGCTCCGCTGAATCCATTCCGTTTTAGGTGAGGTATTCTGTAATGAATACTCAGGGAGAAAAAGGTGTAGATTCACACGCAGAGCGTGGCAGGTGTTTATTACGCCTTCACAGAAGGCAGGAATCGTGGTCACAGGCAGGCAATGGTCATACACAGGTAGGCAAACAGGCAGGTGAAACAAAACTAGGACTGAAGGCTAAAACTGGTTCTCACAAACGAGCTAGGAAAAGGCTTAGTAGAGTCAAAACGAACAATACCTCACAAGGCACAAACAGAAAGAACTGAACAAAATAAGGAGCTGATGAGACCAGGTGAGTAACTAACACAGATGAAATCAATGAACTTTCAAGAACTCAAAGAAACAGGGCTACGTTCAAGAAGAAAACAAATACAGAACCTTACATAGATGAACCACTGCCCTTCACTTTTCAACGTCATTCTTAATTCAAAATAGCAGTCAGTTTACATTTTGTCAATACACACTATGTGAGTACACTGCTGTAACACCTACGTGCTTTACTCATCATACATGACTCCAGAGATAGCCTAATGACTATTCTACTATATGACAATACAGTATCCTGCTTTGTTACTTTTGTGGACCCTCACACTGAACTGCAATACAACATAATGTCCTTTACCAGATTAGTGGGAAACTAAATTTAACTGCAACACACACACACACACACACACACACACACAACACACACACACTCCGCTGCCAGGGTTCTGAGAATGAGGCCGGTTTTGCTGTGTGACAGACGCCTGATACTCACATGACGACAGCAAATGTGTTGATTAGAGCGTAGCAGTGATTGACCTGAGAGGCCCAGAATGGCAGACTACTGTATATTACTGCGGCAGCATCACAAACAAACACACATACACACGCTCACACCAGACCTGGGGAAACTATATATTTAACTATGCTTTGTGGAAAGTTTTTAGAAAATTGGGGAGAACAAATAGATATTTTGGAGGTGATTACAACTTTTTGAATGCAGATCCCCAAAAATGACTACTTTTTAAAACTATTTGAATACAGATCTCAGAAAGTGATTACTTTTTCAAAACTATTTGAATACATATCTCAGAAAGCAACTACTTTAGAAAAATGAATACAGATCTCAGGAAGTCACTACTTTTCAGAAACTGTTGGATTGGCTCCCTTCAACTAATGGCAGGGCTGTATCTGGAACTGCATGTTGAAGATAGAAATAAAATGAATAGAGCATACACTATACTATTCCAATCTATCTGACACTCATATTTGATCTACACAATACATTTCTAAATAAACATTCTGTAAATGTCCATTCGCCTGAATGTCCATTGCCCCAGGTAATCAAGTCAAACCAATTAACCAATTATATTTTGTATAGATAATTATAAATAAGTTGTGACGCTCAACTACTATACACACACACACACACACACACACACAACGAATGGTTCTATATAGTATCAAATAAGGGTTATTTGGCTTGTAACCATAGCGGATCCCTTTTTGGTACTATAACCTTTTTTTCTATAACCTTGCTGTTAATAGATCGCAAAGCCGCATACAACTGAGCTAACCTTTGGAAATGACAAGTTCACTTTCTCATCCTTAGCCTAAAAATACATATCAAGTTCAAGTGCGCTGTTTGGCTCACATCTGAAGGCTGAAGTGCATTTAGGACGTCTTCTACTGCGCATCGCTAAAATATCCTAATGATTACGATCACAATTCCTCAATTGAAACATTATGGCGACACTATCTATACCAAAGATGGTTTGGTATGGTTTATACACTTGGGAACCAAGTTCGAGTTATCAGTGTATCCTGTTATCGCCTGGACTTCTTGAAATACAGTATCTTCACGCCTAGGGAAAAAAAACCCAGGCTTCCGTCATAACTGTCAATTTATTGAAAAAGAAAGAAAGAATTACAGAGGGCAGTTTGGAAAAAACGAATCCCCTCCTAATCGTTATCTGGAATAACGGACATTCTGGGGTAATATAGTTACATAACCAACGTTCTGTAGTAATACTAGTCCTGTGCGAATATGGGTTTATGATCTATAATCGATAATTACCGATGATCAAATGATTTCAAGTCGTGACAATTCTTTTTTTTTATTAAATCAAATATTACAAACAATCAGACATTGAGTTAAATAATTGATAAGAACATAACTGACAAGCAAACAAAAAAACAAACAGAAATGAGTTATGACAGCATAAGAGAATTTGACAATGACACTTATTAATGAAAAAAAATGTTATAATATTGGACCGAAGACAAGCTTTTCTAGTCGTGACAATTCATACTAACCCGTTGGAGCGCGGGATGGCGTAACCAGATGTTTTTCATTAGCGTGACGAAATGGGGAGCGAGGTTTGGTTTGGCACGGTGCGCACGCGGCTGCTGCAGGTCTGGTATATAAACAGAGCGCAGGTCAGGGCCATTGACAAGCTGCTGCTGATGCTGACTGCCTGGCTAACAACAAAACGATAACTAGCGTTTACAATCAGCAACTTATTGAGTTAGAAAGGCTGTATATTGTTTCTCTCTCTGTCTCTCTCTCTCTCTCTGTCAGATGGAATACCAAAAACCAGCGGAGATGAACGGTCATTGTAATGGGACCGGGAAGCAGCTGGTGACAGATTTCCGCTATAATAACGGTTTCAGTGAGCTGAGCCTCGAGACCAAGAAGACCACTGTACAGCAGCGGAAACAGCATGAGACGTCCCGTAAAGATGCTGAGGATGAGTCCCGGTTACCGGCACTCGAAGCAGCGTACAGCAGCATCTTGCGGGGGCTCGGGGAGGACACGGACCGGCAGGGGCTCCTGAGGACGCCTCTAAGAGCCGCCAAGGCTATGCAGTTCCTTACCAAGGGATACCACGAGGACGTGTACGGTAAGACCCGGTGGGGACTCGGTATCTGGTCGATTAATAGTAGGGAGAATATGCTAAAAGTAAAAAAAATAAAAAATTGGCACTTCCAACTTGAATATCAGTACCCTGTTTTTGCATTTTCAATAGCCTATTCAAAAGCAATGCAAACTTTTCTAAACAACTATAGGCCTGTTTTTGATGCAGAAACAAAATAATAATACATTTCAAATACATTTATCAAATATGAGCAGCAGGAGAAGGAGGAGTGCCAAACGGATAGAGAGAGGAGAGAGCTAGGAACACACTCCTGCCTACACTGTAAAAAAAGAGTTTTTGGATCAACCCCCCAAAAATTGTCAACTGGTTACAAGTCAATTGAAAAAAATAACATTTCTTGAAACCAAATATATGATTCGCTGCCAACTGTTATTTGACAAACCTATTTTTCAGCAGCCTATTTCTTTCAACACTCAACTTACTTTTCCCCTTTGGTATACCTAATATATATATTTATACAACAAGTGGGTGTAATCCTGAATGCTGATTGGTTAAAACCGCATTCCAGCAGGTGTCTATTCCACAAATTACCACTGGCTAAATCTCTGACGTTAAAATGACTATTTACTCTGTGCGGTCTGATTGAGCAATCCACTGTCTCAGCCGACATTTGCAACATTGTTTCAATATAAAAATTCGATCTCCAGCTGTCCCATAGTAATGGGGGTCGGGACGAGACTGACAGGCAGGCAGCGTTTCTCAACCAGTCGAAATCATGAATCAGCTGGCATCATTTTTATGGATATATACAAAGAAATGTCAATTGAAAAAAGGTTAAACGAAACGAAGTGCAGCTAGTTTGTAGTCTTTCCAGCTTCAGTTTGAAGTGATTGTGTTAGCTGTGTTGTTGGCTAGCTCCTCTGAACAACAGTGTCCTGACTAGTGAGCACATTTTCTATGCCAGGCGAAATCGTGCCTCATTAGCTCATTGTTATGGATATATCCAAATAAATGTCTCTAGAAAACAGCTTAAACAAATGCAAATGCAGCTACTTTGCTGTTATTCTGGCTGCACTTTTTGACGTGACTAAATTAGCCGTAGTTGGCCAGCTAGCAAGCAAGGGATAAGAACGTTGCCAGCCAGTATGGCAATGGAACATTTAGAACGAATGACTGGGTCGTGTCCATAGATACAGAACAAAAAGACTGAACGACTAGGTCACGTCCATAGATCAGAACAAAAATAATGAACATCTGTAAACCGAACCGACAGAACGACCAGCCGGCTTGGGTAGCAACCCTAGATTTGTGTTGGGACTATATCTTGTGGAAGGATGAAATAGTATGAATAAATTCATCAAAATAACGTTTTTAATGAAAATATGTCAATCTTTATTTGAACATAACAACACCCGGCTTCTATGGCATTATCACTTAAATATACATACAACCCATTTTTTTATGTTGTACCAAGTATATTTTTCACTTTGGAATTACCTATACAAGTTTATTTAATTGGGTAACAAGCAATTCTACAATTTCCTGTTAATCAAGATATTAAGTTAGATAAACACTTTCTTTACATAAGACATTCACATTAACTGGCTACAATATTGTAACCAAATGGTGACCACCTCATTAATGAGCAATGACAGTACTTAAGCAGATATCAGTGCTGGCAGTGAACATATAGTTGTAGAAAACCCCCCAGAACACATTACCTGGAATGACATTCACTCTCACGGGTGGACAAAAAGAACAAACCAAAATCCAAGCCCATAACAGGCCACGCCTTCAACTCTTCTGATAGGCTGCCACCGCTAGATTGCACCCACGGCTATGCAATGCGAATGTGCATGAGGTGTTGAAAGCAATATAGAAGCTTTCATATGATTCAAAAATCACATCTGTCAAATTCGTTATTTCATTTCTGACAAATTGAATAGAATAGGTTGAATGAACCAAAGCGTAATTTTGGATCATACCAATCAGAAAAAGCACTTCAGATGAACAAAAGTGCTATCCCACTTTTTTACAATGTTTATGTTTCTCTCAAATCTTGAAAAATTGATTTATGGATCCAAATTACATAATTTAATTTGACTCAACAGCTATGCCTAATGTGTTATTTATCTCTGGTGTTATCTGAAGTCAGGCAGTTGCGTGGGTCAATCGAAACCCAACTTTACACACTCGATTAATTTGAATTTGGCTAAGAGTTTTTCTATCTTATTCTATTCTATTCTCTATTATATGCTATAACGTAGGCCTAGGCTACATTTTCAAATTACACCGTTGGTAATATACCTCAGTCATTAGTCATCTCTCTTAGACAGATGCACGTAACATGGATCTGACGCAATTACGCAAGATTTTAGTTATGGGTTTCCACGATTACCCCATTTGACGATTCTGATAAAAACATTGTTGCTGTTAGCGCTAAAGCCGGTGACTCATGCTTGTCGGTCCTGGCTGTAGGAGCTTGTCAAGACTGCGTGCATCTTCTTTATATAACCGCACCACACACGGATAATCAGACCATTTTTGCCAAACACCACTCTAACCTGTAATCTAAGAATGTGTGTGTTGGTGTTATGTCATTGATAAGTATTTCCTTTCACTATGAGTTTTGTAATTAGAATAGAGCAGTCTATTGTTCTCTTGTTTGTATGGTCTAAGTCAGGGGTGTCAAACATACAGCCTTTTTCAGTGCAGCCCTCCAGACCTCGTTGAAGACCAAATGCGGCCTCCGGGCAAAATTAGTTTGACACCCCTGGTCTAAGTCTTTTCCCCACCTCCAACCACCTGTTACTCAACCTCTGGTCTGTGGACCAGAGGTTGAACAATACTGATAAGACTTTTATAACAACTTGATGAACTCTCTCTCTTTCTCTCTCTCTCCAGACATCCTGAATGATGCCATATTTGACGAGGACCATGACGAGATAGTGATAGTAAAAGACATTGACATGTTCTCTCTCTGTGAACACCACCTTGTACCCTTTTTTGGCAGGGTAAGACTGGGGGTCTAAAGAGAGAAAGTGAAGTGGGGAGTGGCTGACAGAATAGCAGAGCAAAGAATGGCAGAGAGAGAGTGTGTTCTGTTGGAAAGAAAGGGGGGGGGGGGGGGGGGGGGGGGGGGGGGTTATTGGGTTCTTTGTCCTGGATAGGGAGCAATGGGACACACTCACGCAGAAAGACAGACGCACGCACACACAGTGAGTAGGCTTAGCACACAGTAGCTTTGATGCCAGTCTGGTGTTGTGTGTAGAGTTGACAAACAGTATGAATATACTGTGTGTTGAGCAGGTCACCTGTGAAACTCTGCTCTGGTTGTTTGAACTCTGACCTGTATTTCTACTCTGTTTCATTGACCCAGGTACATATCGGATACCTGCCAAATAAGAAGGTGGTCGGGCTTAGCAAGCTGGCTAGGTGGGTGTACAGTACACACACACGCACAACTGACACACACACACACACACACCACACACACACACACACACACACAACGGACACACACAGTCCATATGTAGTGTGTGAATTGGAGAAGCTGGTTGGCTCATGAGAGGGGCAGGGAATGGTCAGGCTACCCGAGTGTGTATGTTTGTGCTGGGTGGCTGAGTTCTTCTGTTATTTCAGTTCTTTGACCTGGAGGCTTAGACTGTAAGCCCTACTGCTAATATCCTGTCTCACCCCAGACACACACACACACACACACACACAGAGGGACAATACCCAGACCTAGCCGCTCCCAGACCATGAGAAAATCCCTCCAGACCAGTGGGAATCATTCTTCTATTATCACAGGCTCTCTCGCTCTCGTCATCTCTCTCTCTCTCTCATCCTCTCTTTTGCACTCTGTCTCTTTCTCTCCTCATACTTTATAGCCCTTCAACCCTTTTGTATATTTCTCTCCAAACATGCACACTGATCAGATCTTGCCTAACAATTTCAGAGAATGTTTTGGCAGGCAGTGAATGATTGACAAGTTGATAGAATGATTGACAGATGGTGTATCAGGTCATCTCTGTATTTATAAAGACATTAATCGTTATTAAACCTGCTCACCAATTAGGCATATATGTTTGATGGTCTTCTACTGTATTATATTGTTGTTCAGTGTGTGTGTGTGGTGTGCGTGCGCATCAGTGGAGGCTGGTGGGAGGAGGTATAGGAGAACTGGCTCTGTGTGATGGCTGGAATGGAATAAATGGAACAGTATCAAACACATCAAACATATGTAAACCACTTTTGACTCAGTTCCATTCTCTTTCCCCAGCCATTACACAGAGCCCGTCCTCCTATAGCTCTTCCCACCAGCCTCCACTGGTGCACGTGTATGTTCTTACTGTGATAGTAACTGTTTATTGTTCGTTGTGTGTGTGTGTGTGTGTGTGTCTGTAGGATTGTTGAGATGTACAGTCGGAGGCTCCAAGGTAAGAATGACAGAGTGCTTACTCAAATATACATACACAGTACATATGCTGTAGTTCAAAGGACATATACATAAACATATTACCTTGAAACATTACTGTAAGAAATATCCAACATTCTGTGCGTGTGCCCTGTTCCCCTCCCCAGTCCAGGAGCGTCTGACCAAGCAGATTGCCATGGCGATATCAGAAGCTCTACAGCCAGCTGGAGTGGCTGTGGTTATAGAGGCAGCGTGAGTACTACACACTCTCACTCACTTGGAATGTTTGGATTATTAGCTGCTTGAAGTTCCGGACTTATAAATCACATGTTAATCACGTTAATCAGGAGAGTAAAACATGGCATTCTTGTGTTGGCATGTATATAATAATGATGTGTGTGTGTGTACCAGGCACATGTGTATGGTGATGCGTGGGGTTCAGAAGATGAACAGTCGAACGGTGACCAGCTGCATGTTGGGGGTGTTCAGAGAAGATCCAAAGACACGAGAAGAGTTCCTACGACTCACCAAGAATGCCTAGCAACCACCTCTGACCCCTGACCTCTAACCCCTGCCCTGACCCTGTAAAGTACATGTTCTAGGGTAGAGTTCCTAAGACTCCTCCACACACCTCACAGAAGCCTTATATACACACACACAAGGCAATACAAGCTCTCAAACCTGTGTGTGTGTGAGAATTTCTGGCAGAGTGAGAGGCTATAACTCTATAATTATGTGAGAAATTGCAGTCTTTATGCGCAAATATTGATATAATAACCATCATACCGAAGTAAACTTGGAGTCACGTGATCTGTTGTGTGGTCCTCCCACTACGACTCAGGAAATCATGCAGTTTATTAGACTACAGATAAGTTATGATGAACTTCACAGGGTGGTGAAAGTGCTATTAAATATCAAGGGTCTTATTCTTGTGACATGATGATCAATGCTTGGCTGCCAAGACCAGAGTGGGCACATACAGTATATAACGTAACAGTTTTGTGACAAAAGCATCAGTAGTTGAAAATGCAATGGAAACCCATTTAACTTGTATTTCTTTACTTATATATATAACCACAATAGTTATTTGTATGTGCACTACGTCATCATGCACAGCCTTTTATTCACAGCAAGTCAATTTGATGGAAATACATCTCTGGTGGGAAAATGTGCATTTTGTTTTTATGCAGATTTTTGAATATTCACATGAAAATCTGTCGCCAATTGGGTGGAAACCTAGCTACTGTCATCAAGTTGCACTTTTTTAGGACCTCTCTTATCATTTTACCTACAGAATGTAGAAACGTGCCGTTTTCACATATGTAGACACTGGTATGGTGCTGGATATTTTTCTATTTTTTTAAACCTTTATTTTGACAGGGAGTCAATGCTAAGACCAAGGTCTCTTTTCCAGGTGAGCCCTGTATAGCACCACAATACACATTAAAATACAATAAAACACATTAAACTACACATTCATATACACAATTAAATACACATTATTATACACAACAATACACGAAAAGCAAAACACAATCATAAAAAACAGACAAATTCTTCGTAAAAAGGTCCCCTAACAACCATCTGAAATGCTCTAGAGGCAACAATTCCTCCAATTTTGAAGTGTATTGTATGTAGATCATTCCACACTTAAGATGCAAGGAAATTAAAGGCTGATTTACCTAACTCTCTAGAAGCCAAAGGAATCTCCAGAGTTAACCAACCCTGTGAACAGGTTTGATAACTTGTCATTTATAGAGATAATGACTGAGGTTGAAAAGTGGTGGAATGCCCCTTTAAAGGGGCAATCTGCAGTCCCTACATACATTTTTGGACTTATAAATGAATTATATATACACCCATTGATTCTTGAGGAATATAACTTATAAATGCCTAATGAGCTTAGTTCAACTGTCACACCCAATCAGAACCCAAAATATAAGCTTGTTTTACTCCAATGTTCGTAAAGAAACACTGCATAGCCTCAAAACATGGTTAAAACTATAACTGTGATATCATGGATGGTCAGTCCGTGCCTACATATCTCAGTCTATACATTTGAGAGTGGTTAGATTTATCCAGCCCCATCCTTAATCTTTTTACCAAAACAGTTATTTTTCCAACAGCAGATTAGCCCTTTAAGACTCCATAATGTTTCATCTGTATGTGGTACAAAGGAACATATTTGTAACTAACATTTGTAAAAAAGTGTATTTCAGCACTGTTCAGCAAAAGCATCTCTATAGTTTATAAGCCAACACGTGTTCTACTATATCTATATTTCCTAGAATGTGTCTAACAATGTTTTCCTCTGTCTATGTTGCCATTGTTTTCAGGAATCATCATTATGTTGTGTGTTCTCTCAATAAAACTATATCACCACAATTGAGTGGCTCTTTCTTTCTGTGTAACAGGCTGGGTGTGTGTTTGCTGAGGTAGAGTGGAGAGCCTGAGGGGAGACAGGGCCTTTAAATGTCAGTGGGCAGCTGCAATGACTCTGCCAACCTCTGTTCTCCTGCCGCGTTCACATGCTAGTCAGAACTCTGACATTTCCGACTTGCTAACTGGTTATAGTTGTACACGTGCCACATTCAACCAGTTAGCAAGTCGAACATTTCAGAGTTTCGTAGTTCCGACTAGCACATGAACACGGCATCTAACCTGACCCTGGGTCACACAGGAAGTTACAGCATGCTGTGATGATGATGATGTCAGAAGTTCTTAACCAATCACTGTTGCGTGTACAGGTGACCGAGCAACACAGAGAACAGGGTCTTGACTTGTGTTAAAGCCTATTGAATAGGACATTTGTTTGAATGTTTTGGTCTGAGACTAAACAAAACAAAGTTGATAAATACTAATTTAATTGCCATTACATAATTAATATTTTAATACCCTCAAAAAAACATGAGACATGATAGAATTCACAAATAATTTAAAAAAGGAAACTCCTGTATCAGAGCAGGTTTGACACAACAGGATAGAAACCATCAGTCCAGGTATTAAAACTAAAAGTAGTCTCGGACTTGATGTGTACTGGCCACTTTTTGCTGCTACAAAGCTGAGGGTTATAGGAGCTCTATAATATGGAGGGAGACATTGCTCCATAATTCACACACACACACACACACACACAGAGCTGGAAAGAGTAACCCCTTGACTGAGAGTTTTAGACAGGGTCAAAGCAAGCCTGCTACACGATAAAGACGTCATTTCTCGTGCCCACCTTCCTTCCCCTTTCCCTCCTTTTCTTTCTCACTCCTTCTCACCACCTTTCTCTGGTTATACTGGTGGCCTGTCAGACGGAGGTCTGCTTGTAGTTCTTGGTGTCCAGAACCTTCTTCCCACACATGGCACAGATCCCTAAGAGAGAGCGAGAGAAAAAGGGGGAGATAAGGGAGATTGTCATTTGGTGAAGGTGTAATAATGTACACAAGTTACTTCTTAGAGAGCAACCAAAATGGCATAAAAGATGGGGTGTGTGTGTGTGTAGTAGTAGTGATGCGCGGGTCAGCTGTTTGTTCATCTGCACCCGCCAGCAATTGCTAATAACCCATCCACAACCGCCCGACTATATCTGATAAAATGAAAATCTGAGGACCACACCCGACCCTAACCCACAAATATAGAAAATGCGCTGTACAGTCAGAGATTACATAACTATTTTTTGACAGGGGGTGCAGGGTGTTGTTTTTAAGCCTAATTTAGATAGGCACGATTCTGCTTATAGTTTCCGACATTTTGGTAGGCTATTTGTTAGTCAAATTGTTTAGATACATGCAGCTTCTCATCTGTCATTACTTGTTGCCCTAGAAGACTAAATAAACCCTTGCTCACCAGAATGATGTCATACATCAATAGAATGAATGCTTCAATCTAGTTGACATTGGTAAAGTTCTCTTTCATCTCTGCTTCTCTCCTGCAGCAAAGGCATTTAGGGACCGGGGAGAAAATGCAACAACTGGAATGATTTTCTGTATAACATTTACATCAGTTTGACTGGTTTTAATAGAATTAAAAGCTGTGAAAATGACCCCACATTTTTCTGATAAGATTTCCGTTCAGCTTGGATGCATATTCTATCAGCTTTTATAATGCTGATAAAGATAGCACCTTTACAGACGGTCCCTAACCGCCCATTCATTCTCTCAAGATGCTGTAAGAAATATATAATATTTCTCCACTCATGTTCCCAAGTCAAAATGTACATTTGGTGTATCATTTTACTGCAACAACTGCTTAATTCTGCAGGAGTTAATATTATATTAGGCTATGTGAGAGGTTATAGACCTACAGTCAGTGTCCAGATTTCAGTTACTATTCCATTTAACCCATCTGAACAGTACAGTTCTATTGATGTGCCATATCCCTGTCTTGTGACTGTCAAATTTGTATAGCGCCTCACAATCAACATTTCCCCCAAACATTAGGCTACTGTTCTTTCAATTTTGCAGCTTTTCGCTTACTGAATTAAACTCTGACATTGTCCTTTTTGACTCAGTGGTTCGACGTTAACTTTTTCTGCCCAAGTTCCCAAAAGCATTTGGCAATTGGTGTGTATTTGGCAAACGTACAGTTAGGCCCTAAATTAGGCTTATGCACTAACGCCTGATAAAAATAAAAACCTCAATGTAGCCTATAGATATGAATTGCACAAGAAGTATATACATTTATGGATTTTTAATGCATTGTTTTCTCTTTATACATCCTGTCCGCCCTTCATCCAAACAATATTTCATGACCCTAAACCCGCCCGCCCCGCGCATTTAACCGCGGGGACTGCGGGTTATGAGTCAACCCGCGCATCACTAGTGTGTAGGCAGATATAGTACCTTATAGGCACAGCCCTGGCAGTAGTGAGATCCTGAATGGTGAACAGAACTCTTGCAGATTCGGCAGATGCCAAAGCCCGACTTCCCTGAATTCCCTGGCTTCCCATAAGGATCAAACCTGTCGACAGAATCATATTATTGTAACATAACCATAATCTGACCATATACAACATCAACCTGCTCCCGTCATCAATATCAACAATTGTGTTACCTGGCCTTCTTAGATAACCTCCCGAGTGCCACAGTGGTCTAAGGCACAGCATCGCAGTGCTAGCTGTGCCACTAGAGATCCTGGTTCGAATCTAGGCTCTGTCGTAGCCGGCCGCGACCGAGAGACCCATGGGGCGGTGCACAATTGGCCCAGCGTCGTCCAGGGTAGGGGAGGGAATGGCTGGCAGGGATGTAGCTCAGTTGGTAGAGTATGGCGTTTCCAACGCCAGGGTTGTGGGTTCGATTCCCACGGGGGGCCACTCACTAACTGTAAGTCGCTCTGGATAAGAGCCCACCGCTCTCTAAAAACATAATACAGTATACTGTTGTGAATAAATAGTATCAAACAATTCAAAACGATGTGTAATAACACAATTCTGTATCTATAATGCGAGTCCTATATCTACATGTAGTGTTCCTGGCTCCGTCCTTCCAGGTGTCTGGAGTTCTCACCCTGCCCAGCTTCTTCTCACCTGAGATAGAAAGAGAAGCGATAGAGACCGAGGGTGGAGAAAGAAAAGTTCAGAAATAGGAGTAGATGTTGAAAGGAGATGGGGAGAGATGAGAGATAGGAATTCATTGCTAGTTGCAGGACTCACACAAACTTCTCGTTCGTTCTGTGATACACAATAGGGCATGGTAACGTAGACTACAACAAAACAAGCCTTCTGCAACAGTTAGCTGAGATAAACAAAATTAGCCAGTTAGTTATCTTCTTATAACTTCTAATAATCCTGAAAAGGTCTTACTTACAATTGTCGCAAAACATAGTTTCTTTGTTTGGAAGAAAAAAAACACGTTTTGCTAATAAATTGGACCTAAATGTGTAGCTAGCTTGTTGTAGACGTCCTGTTTCCGTTTTGAACGTTCGGGACCTCAGAACTTGATTGGTTGGTCTCGCAGGAGTGGTAAACCGTTATTGGTTGCCAGATATGTCAGTCAATGTAGGGACGGCGCAAGCGTCTGACCTTGCGCGGCTCCATGTTTACGGAAGGGAGTCTGACGACCACGACCATATCAGTGTGAAATGTTGAAAAACAGCCACGTAGGCCTATAGTTCATTTGTCTCGTTTAGAATAGTAAACTACTGTCTTATGTCGAAGGATACAGCTAGCTAAGCTACAAAGGCAGTAGCTAGCTAGACAGCCAAAAAACGTCAACTCGACTAAAAGTCATATCTCAGTACTAGGAAGGGGTTCTCAAGGTAGGCTATTCACTGACTGTAGCTACAGTATTATTTATTTATTTATTCTCGTCATTTTAGCAGACGCTCTTATCCAGAGCGACTTACAGGAGCAATTAGGGTTAAGTGCCTTGCTCAAGGGCACATCAACATATTTTTCACTTAGTTGGCTCTGGGATTCAAACCAGCAACCTCTCAGTTACTGGACCAACGCGCTCAACCACTAGACTACCTGAGCCTTTATGGCACAGTCAGGTGATATTGCGCTCGCCCTGTAACTGGGGTTGCTTGTTCAAACCCTGCTACGGCTTTTCCTCTCAATCGCTGCAACATGATACCATATTTCCTATCTCAGTACAGGTAGACCTGACCAGACCTCTCTCCAGCACCATGTGGGATCAGGAGATCAGACATATGGCATCCAGCCACGCCATCATGGCATCGGGGGTGTTTATGGCGACAGTGGTGCCAGCGGTGTTAGTGCCGGGCTTCTCTGTGTATGGGACACACCTGCTGTGGCAGTACTCTGTTGCCGGGGTCGTCGCTGTGGTCAACATCACCCTGTTCTGGCTGCTGGGGGTCAGCCCCCCTACCAAGAAACACACTATCACCTACAAGGTAAACACACAGTCACCTGCAAGGTACAGAAACACACACTCACCTGCAAGGTAAAAAGGAATACTCACATCTATGAGGATATGATCAGTTTTTTTATTACAGAACTGAATGGTATGATCATCTCCTCTTCCTCTCCTCCCCCCTCCAGGTGTCTAGGTTGGTGCGTTCCTGTCTCTACCTCCTCCTCTCCTGTCTGTTCTTCCACACTGTAGTGGTCCTGTATGGAGCACCGCTACTGGAGTGAGTTCTGCCAAGACTGTGTTTCCACCTGCCAATATTGAGTGTGTCAGATTGGCCCCGTGTAGCTCAGTTGGTAGAGCATGGCGCTTGCAACGCCAGGGTTGTGGGTTCGATTCCCATGGGGGGCCGGTATGAAAAAAAATGTATGCACTCACTAACTGTAAGTTGCTCTGGATAAGAGTGTCTGCTAAATGACTAAAATGTTAATGTAATTATTTGTGTTGAAAGTCTTTAGAAGTCTTTGTTTCTGACTCTTTCACTGTGTTTGTGTGTTAGGACTGCATTGGAGACATTCTCTCTGGCGGTGTTGTTGACCAGTCTAACCACTCTGAGGTGTGTGTGTGTCCTCGGGCCCAACGTCCAGGCCTGGATAAGAGTCTTCAGCCGACATGGGTACTACCTCTGACTCTCTCGCTCTCTTTCACTCTCTCTTTCTGTCTCGCATTTCCTTATCCTCTTATTTTCTCTCACATTCTAGTCAAACTCTCTCTCCAACTACCTCTTCCTCTTTATCTTCCTTCCTTCCCTCTCTCTCTCTCTCTCTCTCTCTCAGACAGAGACAGTCTGTCTGTCTGTACTGTATGTCCACTGGGAGACAGTCTCTACCACTACATCACAAGCTTCACAATGTCGATGCTTTGTGTGTGTGTAAAATGTATACTTGTGTGATTGTTTTAGGGCCATGTCGGTGTGGGACACCTCTCTACAGATGGTGGTCGGCTGCAGTGTTGTGGGAGCCTGGCTGGGAGCCTTCCCTATCCCTTTGGACTGGGACCGACCCTGGCAGGTCAGAACACACACACAGAGAAAGGCCATGAGTAGAGCTGACACGATTCCTTACTTTGTATATCAGCAAGCCATGATTGTTCTACACAATATATTTCTATCACAACATTGTTCCCTGTAGGTGTGGCCTGTGTCCTGCAGTCTGGGTGGAGTGATTGGTTACCTGACTGGGCTAGTCGTCGCCCCCGCCTGGATACACTGGCACCGGAAACACCTCACCTACAAGAGCAAGTGATGGACAAGTCAGAGGGAGTGAGAGAGAATGTGTATGTATGTGTGTTGTATGTGTGTGCATGCTTGTTATGTCACTCCCCCAGGCTGCTGATAAATTATCCCTGTAGTAATCCGGCTGTATTGCTTTGGTATCTGAATATTTATTGGGCTGTTGGAGTGGACAGGCCCTCTCCTGTAAAATATGATGTTGCCATGTAAAAAGATTCCAGACGTCGTCTTTTTTTTTTTTTTTTACAAATAAAGTCTTAGTTCTTTACACATGTTATTTTTATTCCTCTGATGTTTTTTCCCAATAGGCTTCTAATAGGGTTTTTACAGACAAAACCCATAGTTGTACCACTACAGCTGTGCATTACATACACACACACACACTGCCACTATACCATGAAGTACAAGGAACTGTCCGTAGATCTCCGAGATAGAATTGTGATGAGGCATATATCTGGGGAAGGGTATAAAACCATTTCTAGAGTGTTGAAAGTTTCCAAGAGCACAGTGGTCTCCATCATTGGGAAATGGAATGGCCCAGACTTGAATCCCATTGAAAATATGTGGAAAGATTGCTGTTCACCACCGCTCCCCATCTAACTTAAAAGAGTTTGAGAAAATCTGCAAGGAAGAATGCAAGAAAATCCCCAAATCCAGATGTGCAAAGCTGATACAGACAAAGCTGTAATTGCCGTCAAAGGTGCTTGTACACAGTATTGATTCAGGGGTGTGAATACTTATGTAAATTAGATTTCTGTATTTAATTTTCAATAAATTTGCTAAAATTTCAACAACTAAAAAATTAACTTTGTCATTATGGGGTATTGTGGGGTAAAAAAAAGGTTTAATCCATTTTGAATTCAGGCTGTAAAACAACAAAATGTGGAAAAAGTCAAGTGGTATGAATACTTTCTGAAGTCACTGTCAGTAGTAAATAACACTACTCCTCTACACCCATCTGGCATGGTACATTATTAGCTCTCTGCACAAACACCTCTCCAGTGTCATCAGAAACTAACAACAAACACATAGTCTCAGACACCTTTATTGCTTCAGTCTAATCACATCAAACTGTATTCCAATCGTTCAGTCTCTTAGTTTCTCACAGACGCTTCAGTTTCACCGTGCTTCAATCAGTATCCTCTCCTCACGGAGAGAGGAAGGCAGGGAGAAAGAAAGGAAAAGAAGGAGAGGAAGCGAGCAGGAGAGACAAATAGACTACCATTGCTGGTCCCTTTTGCTATGATGACATTATGACTTGCAGTCTGGTGTCTCTTAAGTTTATCTAGTCAAAGTGCAACGAGGAGGAACGTATTACTTACAAACACTAGAATCTTAGAAAAAGATAGACCTACTTGGTTTAACCCAGACCCCCACACACTCTCCAAGCCAAGGGTGGCCAACCCTGGTCCTTGATAGCTGTAGGGTGTGCAAGCTTGGTAAGTTACATAACAGCATTAACTTATCACACCTGATCCAGCTTATCAAAGTCTTGTTGAGAGGATGATATGTTGAATCAGGTGTGTTAGTACTGGGCTGGAACAAAAGCTTTCCCAATGCAATTCACCTCCCATTCACAGACAGATCCCTCAGTGTCAGGAGAATACATACCAACTTTGACATGAATATAAAATGACATATTATACACTATACAGTACATATTGTGAATAATTAGCAAGTTGGCATTAATGTCATGAATCTTGACCTGGAGGCAGCTCTGCAGAGTGGTCACTAGCTAGCACAGCCACAAAGTCATACAATCAGTTTTTAAACCTAACCTTAACCACACTGCTAATCCTTATGCCTAACCCTAACCTTGAATTAAAACCCAAAATAAATATATTGTTTGCAAGAATATTTACAATATAGCCAATTTTGACTTTGCAGCTGGCCCATCTAGCGGATATCTCTCAGTTTTGCCTCCAGAATGCTGCCACAGACTGAACTCTGGCCTACAGGATCACAACCTCATCTCCTATTGTGCGTTTAGGGAACTACTGAGAGAAGGACGAGAGGAGGAGTAGACTTTCACCCAGGGGTTGGTGTCGCAGAGGGTCGGAGAGGATGTGACGCTGATGGACTGTAGTTTGGTCCAGGTGTGTGTGTGTGTCTAGCTGACAGACTTTAGTTTGACCCAGGGGTTGGTCCCGCAGACCTCGATAGGTGGTTCGTTGGCGAAGATGTGGTTGCAGAGCCCGTCCAATGGCGGCTCAGGGTCAGACATCGCAAACTGTGCCGCATCCGCGATCACCTTCCTGATCTCTACATCTATCTCCTGTAGGGAGGGAGGAAGGACGGAAGGAAGAAAAAAGAATTGGAGTACTTGGACCACCTGTGTGTGTCTCTGTGTGTGTGTGTGTGTGTGTGTGTGTGTGTGTGTGCATGTCGGTGAAGGTGTGTGTACCTTGATCTCCTCCACAGAAGCCATGTTGTTGGACAGCATGCATTCCTTCAGCATAGTAATGGGGTCACTCTTACTGCGCACTTCCTGGATCTCCTCACAGGTACAGTAGATACAGGAAGTTACATCACACACAGGAAGAGGGTTAAGACATGATTAGCAGGGTTCAGCTCCAGCCCTTGGTTAACAAGAAAGAGAGACACAGAGCCCTGGAAAGGAACCGATGCTAGAGTATTGGGATGCATCCCAAACCAACATTGCACTGCACTGAGGGGTGTCTAGACAGGCTAAGGGAGTGAGGGAGTGTGGCAACACGAGGTGGTGGGCAAGGCTAAAACAGAACAGAGGGAGGAGAGAGAGAGAGAGAGGGAGAGAGAAAGAGAGAGCGGGAGAGGAGTTATGGGGAGGTGTGAGAAGAGTGAGGGGGTGGAGAGAGACCAGGGGTCAGGTGACGGTCACAGGGTCAGGGGTCAGAGATCAAGTCTCACCTAACCCCGGGGTCGCTCATGCTATGTCCATAGTAATGGTAGGTCTCCAGCTCCATGACAATAGGACCCTGCCAGAGAGGTTTCCAAACCAAGAGACTCAACAAGCTAGCCAACGACGCCATGACACTGCTCAATAGCCTGATCAGTGATTTCTATTGGAGCAGCAGTTTCTCAGCATCTTCCTCTTTATGCTCTTTGGCCTTGCAGCACACCAGGAGTGCCAGTAATGGTTAAACTGGGACAAGTTATAGCTCTGTACTGGACTCTCTTCCACAGAGTGTCTCTATGCTGGTCACAGAGCCTCCCTCTGTCAGGGAGGAGACACTGGTATGAAACTGGAAGCTGATCATCACTCTGAGATTAGATTGTCTGAGACAGAGGGATTCTTAACACTTCTCGAGGCACTTACACCAGTTATAACTTTCCCATCTTCGCACCAATCAGAACTCCTCTTCTCCAGCTCTACAACCAATCATAGCTCCCCTTCCAGGCTCTGCATGGGTCTGCAGCAATCTTGATGGCCTCCCTTACACACAGAACGTCCATGCTGTCCACCTACACCCAGAGACAGGAAGGGAAATACAGATTCACTCACTGACTGTGTATGTGTGTGTGTGTCCTACCTTGAGGCCAGGTATAGAGTCTCATCTCTTGAAGTACTCAGTGCTAGCAGAGGACCTCTCTACAGACGTCCACATGCCAAACTTGTTGCTCTCATAGATGAAGATACACGCCATGTTAAAAGACTCAAAGATCTGGCCCTGATTGGAAAAGAGGAGGAGAGTTGATGATGATGACTTCATGATTTTACTGTAACTGTTAGATGGATAGAACAAGTCTCACCTGGTTGGCTGCTCCATCTACATACAGCATCACACACACCTGGTTGTTACCGTGGTACTGACAGGCTAGGGCCACACCTTCCCCCAATGGAACCTGTAGAAACACACACATGCACAGTGAGAATGTGTGAGTCAGGTGTGTGTGTGTGCGTTTGTGTGTGTGTGTGAGTGAGTGAGTGAGTGAGTGAGTGAGTGACGTGGGAGCTCAGATAACACTGTCCCACGATGCCGTTCCCTCAGTAGAAGTGTTTGGAGTACATGTGGAGGCTGCAGAGGGGAGGACGGCTCATAATAATGGCTGGAAAGGAGCTAATGGAACCTATGTGTTTGATACCATTCCACTCCAGCCATTAACATGAGCCTATCCTCCCCAATTAAGGTGCCACCAACCTCCTGTGAAGTACAAAGAACCACCTTCACCCTTGTCCACATGTCCTCTACGACCTGAGACAGGAAGAGAGAGAGAGAGAGAGGGCAACAATTACTAGCATAGGCCTACTGTTCTTTTGGTTTGTAACAATTGCTTGAAATTGACAATTTACTTATGAAGCATGCACTTGGAATTTGTTGTTAAAATTAATTATTACTGTGGCGAAGATGCACCATAGGCGCTGCTCTTCACTTGCGCTCTCCAAAACCCGCCAGTGGAGGGTGCTTTTTTACTCTTGTTGAAATGCTGTTGCTTTCACACGTTTAAATGCATAGGCCCTATGTGGTAAATCTATATTCCATCTAATACTACTATAATCGTTAGCGTTTCATCATTCCACCCCCGTACTGTTTATTGCAACACTTAGACATTTCTGTTTCATGTTTGATAGGCCTACGATACATTTCCATTTAGCCAACCATTTATTACCCTGCTCTGAGTGGGCGCGATGTTTATAGTGCACGTGAATGTTCGCAAGACTCATGAGGTAGAAGTTATGTTTATTTAATTCAATATATGGTTTATTTTGTTCATATTTACCGGGTTATGTCGCAGTTCCGTGTGTCTGTGTCCTATGTCTCTATCATTTTTGTTGTGCGTAGTAGGACCACGCGCTACCCAGTGCGCATACAATTAGGCTACGTAGCCTGCGCTCCACGCTTTGGAGTCAGAACGTTGAATAAGACAAAATGATTGTTCCATGTATGCATGGTGTTGAAATATCATGAATAATCATAAAGTCTGATTAAGAGGAATGTACCAATGTAACAATGGATGTGGAAATTGCCTTTTACATTGTAGAACCAGTTTATTAGTTGTAATTGCCAATTGGGTAATTGTATGGTCCTGGGGGCCAAGCGCTTATGTAGTAGGCTTACCTGTTTGAGCTCCTGTTAGACAGATTCAATGTGGTTTCTCAAGGGGAGGCTGTATAGTCTTGCCCTTTACACGTGTCCGTTCAGATAGGACAGGTTAAGCCTGATACAGAGGGTATTTCTTTTGGGCTATTGACCTTGTATTTTTGGTAAATCTACTTGTATATTTTGTATGATATGGTGCTTTCACCATTGGATCACCAATACTTGTAAATAAATCTAAACTCTGAGCACGTCAACCTGCCTTGCCTTCTGCTGATTTCATGCCCTTACCACTGCTACAAGGTCCCTATTTTACAATTACTTAATCGAAATGTGTTTTAGACAAAATAATGAAAAGGGCTGTTTGGTAGCCTCAATAAATAGACAAAGATTTGAATGCATGACTTGACTCAATTCTTGACCTGTTCTACTTGGGACTCGACTTGAGACTCGGACCTTGTGACTTGAGACTTGCTTGTGACTCGAATAATAGTGACTTGTCCCACCTCTGCCTAAATCCAATGAGAATATACACCATCAAAAATAAATCCATTATTATTTTGTTTAGGCACGTCCTTAGAAACAGTATAAGACTACATTTACATTACATTTACGTCATTTAGCAGACGCTCTTATCCAGAGCGACTTACAAATTGGTGCATTCACCTTATAGCCAGTGGCATAACCACTTTACTTTGACTAATACAATCTATTTTCAAAAGAATAGAATAGCATATTTAGAGTTTGTGCAGCCATGGCTGCGCCATCCAAATGAAATCAATAGTTTGTTATTTTGTTCATTACGCGGGTTATGTGGATCCTGAATGCTGATTGGTTGATATGCGGGAGTTGTGGGAGAACAATTTCCGCAAAACACCATGACTGTCCCGCAGCCCAGGCAGGACATTAAAAAAAAGCGTATACACATTTTTCCTTGCTACTATTTGGTTTGCAACAATTGGGGGTTGTATAAACCTACCCGTCTGCCTCTACAACCTGTGCAACAATGTATCATTTCACAAACGCGATCTCTCCGGTGCCAGCAAAGACGCAGGGCACTGGCTGTCACCAACCAGCGCAAGGCCAATGGACAGTTCTTCCACTCGTGTGCCATCAACGGAAATGTCAACATTAACATCGCCAACTAGCTTGGTTAGCTCGGACTCGCCAACTATGTTGTTGCCTATTTAGACCTTTTGGATATTTATTAAATCATAATTTATTGAGGTTCTTGTCTCTTATCATCATTGAATCTCTGCTAGCTAGCAACATGCCAATGATTTGTTTAGCATAGCAATGAATAGAATGATTAGAATTAATGACTGGGTCAAAACATGAGTAATGAACTAACAACTAGCCCGATTCCGTAGCAACTTCAGAACGCAAAAAATAATTTACTCATCAAAATGTTTATAATGAAACAATGTCATTAATGTTTTTATAAATATGTCTGCAACCGTTTTATCTAAGGGATAACAAGAGTCTATGCGTTCTATGGAAAATAATGAACGACGTGGAATGTGTGTTCCACCACGCGATAGCGGACCACGAATATCTTTCCCACACAACTTGTGTAACGGAACATGTGGAACCACTGTCATATAAAAAAGTGATATTTTGAAACAGAGCCCAAGCCCATGCTTTTTTATCCACGTTTAATATTTTTCCTACCCTCACTCCGCTTTGTTAGGGAGCAGGCGAAGGGTCTTACCATCATCATAATAACTAGGCTATAGAAAATAGCAATCCTATTTTCAAAAGCGTGTGAGTCTCGTTTATATTTCACAACCTCCTCGGGCTTTTGGAGTTGCCTATATGCGATCGAGCAAAGCAATAGGCCTAGTTCCAGCCCAGCACTAATAGACGTGATTAACTAATCAACTCATCATCAAGATATCGGTGTTGGTACTGGGCTGTAGATCTGAATGGACTGGATATATTTCCACCCATTCTATCTGAGGACCAGATGAAGCAATTATACTGCTTACAAATCCAATCCAATCATTCTACCTAATGACTAGCCTATCATATCATGTTTTTGTTTCATCTATCCAATCCTTTTTGTTTAGAGGTTAGGTGTTACGGTTAGAGGAGTTGATTTGGGACAGCCACATCCACTGGACATGACTGCTGAACAGATAGAACAGTAGTGATGGGGCTATACCAAATCAAATCAAATGTTATTGGTCGCATACAAATATTTAGCAGATGTTATCGCAGGTGCAGCGAAATGCTTAGGTTTCTTGCTCCAACAGTGCAGTATACCTAACTATACAAAACAATACACACAAATCCCCAAAATAAAAGAAAGAAATTAAGAAAGATCAGAACCAGCAACATATAGTATATATAGTGCATTCGGAAAGTATTCAGACCCCTTCCCTGTTTCCACATTTTGTTACATTAAAGCCTTACTCTAAAATTGATTAAATAAATAAAAAAACTCACCAATCTACACACTATACCCCATAATGATAACGTGAAAACAGGTTTTTAGATTTTTTTGCAAATTTATAACAAATTATAAACAGAAATACCTTATTTACATAAGTATTCAGACCCTTTGCTATGAGACTCGAAATTGAGCTCAGGTGCATCCTGTTTCCATTGATCATCCTTGAGATGTTTATACAACTTGATTGGAGTCCAGCTGTGGTAAATTCAATTGATTGGACATGATTTGGAAAGGCACACACCTGTCTATAAAAAGTTCCCACAGTTGACAGTGCGTGTCAGAGCAAAAACCAAGCCATGAGGTCGAATTAATTGTCCGTAGAGCTCCGAGACAGGATTGTGTCGAGGCACAGATCTGGGGAACGGTACCAAAATATGTGTGCAGCATTGAAGGTTCCCAAAAACACAGTGGCCTCCATCATTCTTAAATGGAAGAAGTTTGGAACCACCAAGACTCTTCCTAGAGCTGGCCGCCTGTCTAAACTGAGCAATCGGGGGAGAAGGGCCTTGCTCAGGGAGGTGACCAAGAACCCGATGGTCACTCTGACAGAGCTCCACAGTTCCTCTGTGGAGATGGGAGAACCTTCCAGAAGGACAACCATCTCTAAAGCACTCCACCCATCAGGCCTTTATAGTAGAGTGGCCAGACGGAAGCCACTCCTCAGTAAAAGTCACATGACAGCCAGCTTGGAGTTTGCCAAAAGGCACCTAAAGGACTCTCAGACCATGAGAAATGAAATTCTCTTGTCTGATGAAACCAAGATTGAACTCTTTGGCCTGAATGCCAAGCGTCACGTCTGGAGGAAACCTGGCACCATCCCTACGGTGAAGCATGGTGGTGGCAGCATCATGCTGTGGGGATGTTTTTCAGCGGCAGGGACTGGGAGACTAGTCAGGATCGAGGGAAAGATGAAAGGAGCAAAGTACAGAGAGATCCTTGATGAAAACCTGCTCCAGAGCGCT